AGCAAGCGCTAAAAGCTTATTGGTCCTCTCCGTCTTTTTCCACTCTCTTTTTAGTAAACTCCTCTTGTTTTTACACATGCTCCAGGCTGTCGAAAAGCGTTTGAGATCGAGTAGTTACTTTTCAGTAGAAATGTCTGTTTTCGGTGTTTTACCGAGCTTGCGTGACTCTGTAAAGCTTTTCATCCTCTCGATCCGTATAGAATGACATCGTCACAGACTGTACACAGAGCTTTACCGGCGACGTCGAGCTTTTTCACGAAATCCGACACAAGCACAATGGTTCCTATTTACTGTTTCCTACTGGGGACACCGTCAGCTTTCTATCCAACCTGTCCCATCGAAACGTGTTTTTCAGATCCGCATCTATCTGACGCACTTCAGCTTCGTCGTGAGTCTCAATAACATTCGGCATTCGCGAGAAAGGGGTTTAGGAAGGCGAACACGGATTGGTTGTTATTTGCATTTGCCGATATAGCGACCAATCACAACAAGTTACTTGTTTCTAATTTTCTCAACGGATTTAGACGATTCACAAAAATGATCAATTTAAGAAATAAAACGGCGGATTTCCGCGTATCCGCGGAATATTGCCATCCCTGCAAACTGATTTTTGTCGCGGGCGTTATTGTAGTTACCCCTCAAAGGTCCATTTTGACTGTGAAACCATATAATATACAATATGATTCATAACAGCCTCCTAATTCTTACATATACAGTACACAACAAATTGATGGAAAACTAGTTTTAAATTCAGAAGCCAAGAATAATAGTTTGTTCAACTATTGTTCAAGCTACTGTTACAACGTAACAATAAAAGGCTTGCAATTTTTCAACATTACTATTTACTACTTATGACTATTTGAACTTTTAGTACAGATTTTACCAAGCGCCACGAAAGATGACATGCTTGGTTTGCTTTCACGGGCCGCATCAAATGATGTGGCTGGCCGGGTCTGGCCCCTGGGTTTTGAGTTCGACACCACCTGTGGGTTTGGATTTTGTGCTTTGAATTTGGTTTTGTTTGTTGTTCAAAATTGCAGCCTGCGCAATTTTAAAATAGCATTCTACTTACGTTGCAATGTTGATTTGAATTTGTTTAATTGTTCAGCCCTAATATATAGTAGGCCATAATAATAGCTCACTATCATTATACATTTCAGGGATTTGATTGCTGTGGAAACTGGCACCTCGTTAAGTGATCAGATCTCTAAAGACTTTGTACAGGTGGTTGAATGACCTGAATGAAACAAACCTGCTGGCCCCATGCAGACTTGAAGCCTTGGAATTTTTCTACATTGCCTCCATTGAACGCAAACAGTGTGTCAATGAGCCACTGCTTGTCTGTGTTTCTCAGGGACTCCAGTACAGGATGCATCAACTGCAACAATAAGCCACATGCCGTCATGACCACTACGCATTGATATTTTTAAAACGACATCAGGTCAAGATTTCGAGCGTAACCAACCAGTTCGCCAAAGTTGTACACGCCTTCTCCTAAAAGACCGGCGAGTCCCAACGTGAAGGCTCTTTCCTGCTTCTCCGTCTCTGTGAAGTCAACACCAATTATTACTTTGCCATCCAGCTTCCAGTTTGTATTCCTTTCATGCATGAGCTAACCTGGAAGGTCTTTAATGTCCACACAGCCAAGGTATCTCAGAGCATCCTTGTAATAGGAGGCGTGGTTCCCAATGATACGATAATATTTGCTTGAGAGGTCATAAAACCTGCCGTGCACCGATGTAACACCTGGCAAATTATTCAACATTTCCTCAACCTCCTCGATTATTTTCTAGAAGAGAAAAAAAAAACAGAGGCGATGAAATGCATGAATTTACATCAGGTTAGGGTGGTGTCAGATAAGCAGTGTTTGCCGAATAAAATGTCTATCTGGAACACAATGTAACTCGGTAAGTTGTATTGGCAGACTTGAGGATTTTCAATATTGCAAAAAAGAAATTCCTGAAAATTAACAATCCGAGTTACAGTAACAACAAATAAAAATAACATCTAAGCTTCAACAGAACTGAAATGAAGCATGCGTTAAGTATGCAAAATTTATTGAAAAGACATTTTAATCATTTGGACTTTTTCCATTATTATTGATATGCAGATAGAATGGCAGACAACGTTTGACAATGAAATAGAAAACTGAATTTTATCTGCAGTAATAAGATAGTGAACATAATGATAAATCTGGATTATAAAAGTGCATTCAAAAAAAGTAGTATATCTGACACCAAAGCCCAAGCCTACTGTGCTTCGAAGAGTCCAAAAATCAGCACTTATGTTTATTTGAAGCTCCTCCCACCTTTGTTGCTGGAAGATCATTGATTTCAAGTTTGAGACTCCCGATGGACGTCTTGCAGAGAATGACAGCTTCTTCACTGCTTTTCACCTGGACCGCATGAAACACAGACATTTTGACTGAATTGGTTTCTTTAAAGATCTAGAATTATTTAGTTGTGGTTGTATGAATGAACTACTTTTTCCTTGGTCTTCTCAAGAAAAGTGATGGCATCTTTGGGATCTGGAAACAAGTGTTTCATTAATCCTTCATAAAATACAAGACAAATCCACATTTTTTTATTTTTATTTTTTTTAGAAAACAATGTTTTCTACATGACCCTGGTCTTACCTGTCATCTGTCTGGCAACATAGAGAATGATCTCCACGAGGGACAAAGGATTGATTCTGCAAAAGGATAAAAACTATGAACTTGAAGATCAAGAGACAACGCCATTAATACATTAACAGGCTGAGGGACCGTTACTCCTCGGCAGTCTTTTAATCATTTTTCTTGCTCACCTGTGTTCAAAGTCACTGATGAAGTTTTCATAAAGCTGCAAAACAACAATAGGACTGTTAGAATTGGTCAAATGTAAAATACAGTTCTTTGTGTGTGTATATGAAATAGAAACAATGTTTCTCAGTAGTTAATACTTGGATTTGTTTCTTCATTTCCTTCTCCACTTTCATACAAACAGCCATTCACAGCTGCAACATACACTAAACATTTTTACTATGGAATAATAATGCACACAATGCATTTAAATTTTAAATGTATATCAACCAAGATGTTAAATGTGATCCTGGTATTTTTCTTTTCATAATGTACAAGATTGTGCAACATGTTAGGCGAACAATTTATCCTGAATACAAAGCATTCTCAGTGAATCTCACTTAAAATACCGGGCATAAAATCACTGGAACAATAATGCGGATAACAATGTATACTAGTATTGAGTATTTACCTGTATAAGGCCATCTCCGTTTTTGAAACAAGGATCTTTGACGAAGTCTGTCAATCTCAGTGTCAGCTGATGCCACAACCTGTCAAATGAACCAAAACACACTCAGACACGAGTGGCAAAAAATAGTAGTTTAATAATATATCATGAGAATGCCTTAACCGGACGCGAACAACAGTTTTGTACTTTTGAATTTCCCACCGTGTGGAACTATAGTGTGACATTTTGCAATTAACTTTCAAAGACGTCGATATTCATGGTTTCTAAGTGCGACAGAGAAAGAACCACGATTAACTTATTCCTTGATTCGAGACAATTTAGGGAGTTATTATTCGGGGAAGTCATTATTTCCTGCCTATAATAGGAGCGAAGATTATTCATAAAATGGGCTAATGCTAGGTCGGCACATGACTCAGCGAGCAATTCAATTGAATGGGGTCGCTAACGCTAGCAAGAGCTAACTTCAGTTGGCAACATGTTTTACCTTTTGTTGTGCAAATCCTCCAGCGTGTGCCACTCAGTCGCCATCTCCGGCGTTGAGCTGTTGCTCTGCTGCTGTTTGAGATACCCGGTAACGTCCCTCATACTGGCGACACAATGATAGTAAACTAACTCGTGCTGATCTACGTGGATAGTTTTCGGCTAACGTCAAGTAGCTTGCAGTGTTGTTGGTGTCCTGGGCATGACACGAGGAATTATGGGAAATATTTTTTTGCGTTCGCTCCTATATGTTCACGATCACACATTATTACAGTGTTTAAAATTGTATTTCTATAGGGTAGGTTATTATGTAAGAGATTTATAAAACTATTCAAGTTACTATATTACTGTGCATTAATGACGGTGTTCTACGTCACGCAAATAACAACACGGACCTTACGAAAAGGTTTCGGAATTTCACGTCGCTTGCTGAGGTTTCATACTGGCTAAATGCTAATTTTGTTTAGTTTAATACATCGTGTGTGTGAGTATTTGAGTGAGTGTGTGTTATGGCTTACTCGATGACCTCCAGATTTGTCTTGTATCGCCGTTGGTTATCAAGAATAAGCAGAACTGTCTCTGCTAGCGGTCAGTGTACAGACACAGCTGATGGTCAATTCCTGCTTTTCACTGTAAAGGTTACCGTGCAACAGCCTAAAAAGCGAATGTCCTGTTTTATAGACCGTGATCAAAGAAGTTTCTGTCCGTGTCAAGATGAAACATCCTTTTCTGCGTAGGTAACACTACACTGACAGACTCGAACATTTGAATTATAGTACTAATATAATACTAATGTCGACTAATGTAGTAGTAATAGCACTTGTAAAATTCTTTAAGTGGAATTTCAGAGGAAACAAAGGTTGTAGGTGAAATCCTGCTGTTGTTTTAAAGAATTATGTTGCTTCAGAGTAAATATTTTTTGCGGTGTGCGGAGTGCTTAGCACGTTCGCTGCACAGTGCAGCGGTGCAGGGTTCGATTCCGGCTCCAGCCTTCCTGTCTGGAGATTACATTTTCTCCCCGTGCCTGCGTGGGTTTTATCCGGGTACTCCGGTTTCCTAACACATTCCTAAAACATGCATGGCAGGTTAATGGACCAAGTCTAAATTTTCCCTAAGTGTAATTGTAAGTTCGAATGGCTGTCTATGTGTGACCTACAATTGGCTGGCAAACAGTTCAGGGTGTACCCCGCCTACTCCCCGAACACAGCTGGCATAGGCTCCAGATTACCCCGCGATTCTCGTCTGGATAAACAGATTACAAAATGAATGGATGGAGGGATGATTGGATGGGTGGATGGATGGAAAATGTTGCATTGATTTGCGAGCTATTTCAGATTCAGATACTGTACACTAACAAAGATATATGTACTGTAGCTATAGTTTGCCAAATAGGGCTCGGCCGAGAACCACCAGAGAGTTGATATTGCGATTTCCTAGGAATGTTGTAGAAGTGATCAAAATGTAAACATTTGCAGATATTCATAGAAATAAAGTGTTGCACAGGTATATTTGTATCTGTATAAATGTATCTGATTTTTCTCTTTTTACATTTTTGTGAAAATTCATTAACATGGTGACTTCACATTGATGAATATAAATATTGCCAATTTAAAACTAAAGGCATTTGAGTGAATTTGAGATTTCAGATGTGTGGATCAAAAGTGAAGTTACAGGAAGAAGAGATAAAGAAGGTGAAGGATTTTAAGTACTTGGGGTCAACTGTTCAGAGCAATGGAGAGTGTGGAAAAGAGGTGAAGAAGCGTGTACAGGCAGGCTGGAACGGAAGTGTCAGGTGCGATGTGCAATAGAAGAGTTCCAGCCAAGATGAAAGGAAGGGTGTATAAAACTGTGGTGAGACCAGCCATGCTGTTTGGACAGTGCCACTGAAGAAAAGACAGGAGGCAGAGCTGGAGGTAGCAGAGATGATGATGTTGAGGTTCTCTTTGGGAGTGACCAGGTTGGATAGGATCAGGAATGAGTATATCATAGGGACAACTCAGGTTAGAGGTTTTGGAGAGAAAGTCAGAGAGGCCAGACTGAGATGGTTTGGACATGTCCAGAGGAGAGAGGGTGAATATATTGGGAGATGGATGCTGAGTCTTGAACTGCCAGGCAGGAGCCCTAGAGTAAGACCAAAAAGGAGGTCAATGGATGTAGTGAAAGAGGACATGAACATAGCTGGTGTGAAAGAAGAGGATGCACAAAACAGGGTTAGATGGAGGCAACTGATTCGCCGTGGTGACCCCTGAAGGGAAAAGCCGAAAGGAAAAGATGTGTGGATCAAACTGGTAGCCCTTTGCATTGTTCAGTTCGCAAGCAGTAGCTCTCAGTTCCAGAAGATTGGTGACCCCTTGGTGTCCAGAGAATAATATAATACTGTCTTGAGATCGTATTTTTGTATGTGAAATCTCCAAGGCTGGAACCGGATTTAGATTTGACACCTTTCTTAACCCCCATTCTTTAGGCTACTCTGGTTCCTCTTTGCAACATTTATTCCATATTGTAAAATAGCACAAAAAGCCAAAGAAAAGTAAAAGTGAATCCGATGATGCTCATTGAAATCACGTTTTGTGAAATTTGTTGATGTCTGATGCATGCACACTATACTCTATACCAAGGGTGGCCAACCAGTCAGAGACTTAGAGCCATTTTTTTTACTGTGTTACTGCAAAGAGCCACACCCACACACACACAAGCACAGACACACACTTTTTTGCCCAAAGATCGACTTTTGGAGCGACCAACCTCCCACAATCGACCCGATCGCGCACGTGTAAGCATATGAACACACACACACACACACACACACACACACACACACACACACACACACACACACACTCGCTCACTAACTTAGCACTTAGCGCCGCTGTCTGCGCATGAGCGATGATTCAGTCATCTGATTGGTTGCCCTCTATGTTAATCAAGTAATGGGATTGGTGATAGGCTGACGTAGTACGTATGTATAGAGGAATGTAGTATGTATTAAGCACCGTTGTTTTAATGGCGGTGCCATCGCCGAGGCGTTTTCGACAATGGTCGTGTGAAAGCCCGGGAGCCGCATTGAACCAGCCAAAGAGCTGCATGCAGCTCGCGAGCCGCGGGTTGGCCACCACTGCTCTATACGGTGGATTGAAGTTTGTGCAAGTTTAGAGGCATGTCATGGGAAAGTGCAAAACAAAATATCTGGATTCTTCAGCTGTTTTCCCGGATAATGAATTGGACATCTGCCGTTTTCACTTGAAAATCGCTGAAAAGTAGAGATAATCTACCGGACTGGCGAATTTAGTTTCATATTCCCATTACCAATCTCGCTGCTCACACGCTATGCTTTGTGCCCCATGCTTATTCCTTAAATGAATATTGTTTGAGGTTGAATCAGAAAGCAATCTTATTCTTTTCATTGTCCCAGACAAACCAACTTTCCTCGGTGGAATGCAACGAAGGGACTTTTCTCCCGGGGTGGTGGGGCAGCTGCCGAGCAGCAGACCTTGAAAGACATCGCTGAGAACATGCTAGAGCACAAGTACAAGAGAGTGGTGGTGATGGCAGGGGCAGGGATTAGCACTCCCAGTGGCATCCCCGATTTCAGGTAAAATTATTCACCATGCTTTCTTGTCCACATTTTTACATAATTCAGTTTTTATTCTGGGATCTTTGATGAGTGGTCATTTCCTCTGCAGGTCTCCCGGTAGCGGTCTCTATGACAACTTGCAGCAGTATAATCTGCCTTATGCAGAAGCTATTTTTGAAATTGCGTTTTTTCATCACAACCCGAAACCATTCTTCGCCCTGTCCAAAGAGTTGTATCCAGGAAACTACCAACCTAATCTCACGCACTATTTTGTGCGACTGCTTCACAAGAAGGGTCTTCTTCTCAGAATGTATACACAGAATATTGACGGCCTGGAAAGATGTATGGATTCATTTTTTTCTTCTCTGGCTATTCTGATTTATTCCTTTTGAAAATAAGTGATTATTTTACAACATGTAGCTGCATTCCCCTTCAGTGGCCGGGATTCCCCCCGAGATGCTCGTGGAGGCCCACGGTACGTTTGCCACAGCCACATGTACTGTCTGCCGAAGGAAATATGATGGAGAGGATCTTCGTGTAAGTTAAAAACTTCAATATTTTGTCTCAGTCAATTTCTTAAATTTCCACGCAAAAGAAATCTTAATGGTGTTGCTTTTCATTAGCCAGACTTGATGAGCGGAGTGATTCCCAAATGCATGACGTGTAAGGGCATTGTAAAGCCGGACATCATATTTTTTGGAGAGGAGCTGCCACTTCACTTCTTCAAGTACGTCACGGATTTTCCCCTTGCAGATCTACTGATCATCATGGGCACATCACTGGAGGTGAGCTCTGTTTTGCAACTTCAAAACGGAATGCCAACCATTTTGATTTAACATACAGTACAGTCATGTGAAAAAGATTGCTTTGTTTTTCACAGGAATGTGATTCCCAACATGTCTTTCAATTGTGGCGCTGTACTATTTTATGCATCAGTACTAAAAAAAAAAAAAAAAAACCTAAACTAAAATAAACATTCTTGTACTTTCTGGGTCTTTGGTCAATTATACCCCTTGAAATGAAATGCACCAAAAATATAAAGCAGTGTCTGAAAAAATATATGATGCATCTTTAGCACCACATCACACTTCATGTGATGTAATAATTGTATTCATCCATCCATTTTCTGAACCACTTTACTATCACAAGGGGCGAGGGTGTGCTGGGGCCTATCCCAGCTGTCTTTTAATACCTTTCTGATAAGGGTAGGAATAAAATCTGAGCAGTATCAATTTTAGATCAAGTCTGCATTCTTCATACCGTTGTTCATTCTCCTCCCTGAAGGTGGAGCCCTTCGCCAGTCTGGCTGGAGCTGTGCGAGCCTCTGTTCCTCGGCTGCTCATCAACAGGGATTTAGTGGGTCCATTTGCAATGACGAACAGTCGACCCCGCGATGTTGTGCTGCTGGGTGATGTCGTGAATGGCGTCCAAACTTTGGTCCGTGTCCTCGGTTGGACTCAGGAACTGGATGCTTTGATGGCAGCTGCTGCTGAGAAAGTGAGTTCCCATCTAGCTGGCAACTGAAAACACTGACCTCCACAAAGGACAAAGGATTGGTCCGGCAAAGTGATAAGAACAATGAATAGGGAGCTCGAGAGACAGAGAATTAATGAAACATTAACTGACAAATACATTAATTTTATATGTATTTCCTTATCTGCAGAGTTCAACAAAGTCAAATGAAGAATAATGAGGAAAAATGACAATCAAAGGATCAACACTTTTCCAGAAGACTATGTGGACCACTTCAACTGATTTCACATAAATGTAGGCAACAAAAATAAAACCCCTTTTTCACGCTGTCTAGTAGATTAGGATCGTTAGGCTGTAAACCAAACAGCAGAGCTTCTCACAGCACTGGATCCGTTCAATGGACTGCTGGAATTGTACACATTGTTGCTGGCTGTCAGACAACATTACAGATGACAAAAATTAAATCAGTAATGAAACAGTTGTGACTTGTGGAGAATATTTTTGGCTAAGCCATATACTTACATGCAGTACACTCATGATAACATCGTTACGAGACTTATAGTCTATCTCAAGCAATAATGATTAAACATCACAGTGTCCAGATTTGAAAAAAAGAATACATCTTTATTTTGAAAATCATAGTATGGGTATGATCTGAACTTTCTGAAATGACACCAGACATTGTAGTTTGGGGGCGGCCCGTTGGTCGACTGGTTAGCGGCGCCTCACAATGCAAAGGTGCAGAATTTGATTCCGGTTCCGGCCTTTCTGTGTGGAGTTTGCATGTTCTGCTTGGGTTTTCTACAGGTACTCCGGTTTCCTCCCGTATTCCAAAAACATGCTTGGCAGGTTAAGGGAAGAATCAAAATTGTCCCTAGGTGTGAGTGTGAGCGCAAATGGTTGTTTGTCTATGTGTGCCCTGTGATTGGCTGGCAACCAGTTCAGGGTGTCCCCCACCTACTGCCCGAAGACAGCTGAGATAGGTTCCAGCACCCCCACAACCCTTGTGAGGATAAAGCGGATCAGAAAATGGATGAATGGATGGATTATAGTTTGGAATATCAAAGAGAGTTGTTAATACATGAGTCAAAATGCTTAAACTGAATTCATGAACTAACAAAGACAAAGAATTGCAGAGTGAATCATAAATTTTGGAGAGCCTGGAAATGTTTAAAGCAGGGGCGTCAAACTCATTTTTGTCTTGGGCCACATTTCCCTTGGCCGTGATGACTGAAACTCTATAAAGGAGTCAAGAATAAAGTTTTATTCAACTATTGTTAAGTAACTGTAATGTCAGGTTTAGTAACAAGAAAATACTTACAATATGTCACTGATTTATTACATGTGAAAATTTGAATTCTGGTACAGATTTTAGCCAGCATCATGGAAGCTGTCATCTTTGATTTGCTTTCGCGGGACACTCAAAATGATGTGGCGGGCCACATCTGGCCCACAGGCCTTGATTTTGACACCTGTGGTTTAAAGCAACACACCATTGAAAATTCATTGTCCATCATTCGATTAGGCCACGGCTATAGAAATTAATAGTGCCTATATGAATGGCGTCTGATTCCCTGAAAAAAAAAAAAAAGTTTATGGCGATTAAGTATCAAAATAATCGCCATCTTTATCAGTTTTGAGCAGGCTGTGACGAAATGCCTGCTGAAACATTCAACCATTATGGCTGCTCTTTTTGGACTTGTTTGCCATACGGCATCAGCAAGTATTGTCCTAAATAAGATAGGGAGACTCCTTACCATATCAGGTTTCATGTTCTACCTCCAGAAAAGGAAAAAAAATTAAAAACACATTTCCGACAGTGGTTGGTGAACGCAGCCAGTCAGCCTCCAAAAGGCAAAATCTAAATCTTAATACAGTACTGTCTCCCAAAAAACAATAGATTGTTACGAACGTTTATGTGCACATCTCTACTCATGCCCACTTCTTAGTCTAAAAATTATAATGAGAATTACAATATTTTTGAGTTTATGGACGTCGTTAAGCCGTTTCCGCTACATATGCACTCCTAGAGAGAAAACATTCATGTCAACTACTGCACGTAAACTACGACCGATTGTGAGCAAAATGTATGTGCACATCTCGACTCATGCCCACTGCATAGTCTTAAATTATTACAATGGAAGTCGCAATATTTTTTTATTTTATGGACGCCGTAAGCCATTGTCTCTTGTTTCCTCGAGAAAAAATTATTAACGTCACTCAATGTTGAAGGCGGAATTTCCACCACACTATTTGATCAATAATCAAATACCTTGGCGGACTTCCGGGGTGCTCGTTGATGGGCTCAGGAATGATCAGAAGCACACGTCTTTTGCATCAGTAACACAGAAAAGTATTAATGTGTGTGTGTGTGTGTGTGTGTGTGTGTGTGTGTGTGTGTGTGTGTGTGTTCAGGCATAGACAAGTGGTCTGCGAGGACAGTCGAGGTGTTATCAACGGCATCTGTTAGATTAGGTGTGAATTGTCCTTCTATGGTGAATCTTCCTTTGATGTGGATATGATCTTTCACATTTGGCTATCTTTTGTTGGAAGTCCTGCTGTGGGGGCCTTTTTCAGTGCCGATTGTGATCTCCAGTCCAGGGGTTCGGCCGGCGTTCCCCCTTGCTCGTGGCACCATGTCACCCCCTCTTCCTCAATCACACCCAAATGCAAACAGTCTCTCATTTACACTCAGAAAAACATCATTATTTGCAGTCACTCATTCCAAAACTTCACCCGAATCATCTATAACCATGAAAGGCCGCACTGAAACAAAAGCAAGTATTTCGTCACTGTATGAAAAACCGCAATACAGCAATATGAAAGCCTATACTGTGAATGAAAATCCCTTCAATGTACGAAAAGTATGATGGATCGTCAACAAACGTGATCTGCACATGTATGAGCATGCACACTTCATAGCCTGAAAATATTACAACAATCGCCTCAGTATTTTGGATTTTATAGACGGAATTAAGATGTTACCCAAGAAGAGGCAACGACTTAATGACATTTATAATCTTTTTACTCTTTTGGTCAATAAATGGCTCTTCAGCTCCCTCAAGATAGTGACGCCACTCCTCTAGTGCCAACTCATGAAGATGCATCTTGACCAGTCAACAGACTCATGATAAATGCAACCTTGGAGCCATCTTGGGCGTAGGTGGAAGGTTGCTGGTCAAAAATTTAAAAAAAGTCCTGGCTCACCCCTGTAGCGTAGCCAACAGGGCAAGCGCACCACAGAGCTCTGTTAGCGTGCTTCCCCGTTGACCCAACAGTTGTCTTCGGCTGGCCAAAGCATTCCTAAATTTGTCTGAGTCTGCAGAATCCATGGTGGTCGGATTATTCTGTCAGGTTCTGGACCGAAGCGACTAATTATTTTTGGATTGCAGGAATGCAGGCTCAGACAAAGTGTGATAACAAAAATATTTATTTACAGTAAAGCGCACTGACGAGGTACAAACAGAAATCTATGGTCACAAGGAGCCAGGAGAAACAATGCATAAACAAAAACGCTTGCAAAAGGCAAGGTACTATGGAACACCAAGAATAAACAAACGAAATGCCAAGAAGCCAATAATGCAAAGCTAAACATAAAAAAATACCAAGAAAAAAATAACAAAGCTTAGAAAAAAACTATGAATAATGAGAGTGACTATGGAGAGTATGGAGAGGTCTAGAAAACAACACTTGAAGCACGACAGCGAGCAAGGTCAATAATCCGACAAGAGCTTGGCGGTCCTTAAATATATGGCAGGCTGGATTGGTAAACACTGCACAGGTGTGCCTGCTGGAGGGAAACGCCCTTCACTGGGTTGTTTGACCGTTGTAATGAAAATCTCCAGATATGCTCCAAAATTGACACGTTAAACGCATCACCGACAGCTTTGCCAGGTTTTGTTGCCTTTAAACCAGCTTCAACATACTGTCTTATGCATGGCTCGACAAGCCATGGGATGATGTCGTCGTAAGTCCTTGTTCCAGCGGCTTCAGTGGAAAGTACATGTTGTCAGAAATGGTCAGAGAAAAGAGGCTCATGATTACAAAGATTTATGTACTTCACTATCTGCAGCATAACTTCAGGACAACGGGTGGCTATTTAAATCACATCGAATCCAGGATGGACACAGAAGTGCTGGGTGGGGCCAGCGAGCATTCAGGAGATTGTAAGTGTTGTGAATTGTAACATCGCCAATCTTCACGGAAGCAGCGAAAATGTAATCTGTACAAGATTCTTTAATGACACGAAAGGCGGTGATGAACTGACACGAAAAGGAGCTAGGCGATATGTGCAGCTTGCTGATTTTAGCATCGCCAATCAATGTTATGATGCCTGGCAGATCGAGTTAAGATCCTGGTTGATGATGTTAGTCAGGAAAGATTTCCCTACAGAGTCACCCATGAGTGAGTCATTATTTTTCACCCTGACAGAACCCTGGCCAGAGGTGGCCACAAAAAAGCTGCCAACATTTATTACCAACGTTTCCACATAAAATGTGGATTCAGTAAGCACAGTCAGTAATGAATCAATAAACTCTTATTGCTCAGTACAGGGATGCTTTCAATTTCAGGACATTTTATCCAACACCATACACAATTTAGAGATTATATTTAGTTTTTGAAAATAAAATGACATGCTACAATGGTACTATTGGTGGAAGGGGCGTTTCGATAAGTGATCAGTTTCGAGAGGTAAAATGTCATTGTAAAAACAGCTCAGTACACAGTACACCGACTGGGCAGTCACACAATCAAATAAATTCCAATATAAGAGCTGTGTCCAACATTTAGCCATTGAAGCCAATGCCCAGCTTTCAGTGGAACATGAATTTAAGCATGTATCCAGCATTGTCTTTATAGTGGGATAGTCTGTAATGTAACTGCACTTTATCATACTGAGAGCTGTCTCCTATACATGAAACTCAGTCTAATGTTGAAGGCCCCACTATGCTAGACTTAGTTCTGAATCAGGGAAAATTGCAAACAGGTTTGAGATGTACCTAAACTGAGATCTACCCATTCCTTGTATACGCAAAAAGCTACATTTTGAGTGACCTTGATGTGCGCGCCTGGACTGATCACCAGTCAGTGAAAGGAATGACATGCACATGTAGGCAAAACTAGTGCTACCCTATGTTCATAACCAAAAAATCGTGACTGAAATAATTTGAAACTTACAAAAGTAAAAAGAGAGCATACAATTGCTCAGCAAAGGCCTCATCTGACCAATCCCACTTCGAATTTCCTGTTACCACGTTTACATTTTCAAAGCACATCCACAACATCACTATTATCCCGACATCAATGTCCTTTTGCCAAGCTGCGCACTGCCACAATATTGAGAGAAAAACACGTTTTAAAAAGGTTTCTCACTAGTTGAGCACATTTTGGGCTTGAAATCATCTTTCTTGGCAGACGTCCCTTTTCGTAGATATCCACAGAAGAGGAAAAAGCTCCTTAGAAGACAAGCTCTCCAACGGC